ATGGTCCTAATCGTTTTGAATAAATGCGGCTGCCAAATGCCTAGGAGAATTGTCGCAAATTTAAAAGACCCCGAGACAAACAGCAAAACAACATCATTAGGACAAACATATTTTTCAGACGGTCTTGGCTGGAAACTCGCCTCCGCAAAGGGTCGATCATATCTGGGTTAGTCTTTCGACATGTTTTTCGATTTTGGCCAGCGTCAGTCACCTTCCTTCCTGTTGTTGTGGATTTTTATCGTTTTTTTTAAACATTATTTTTTCAGATTCTTTTGCTGAACCTGAAACCGTGGCATTTGCCATTTACCATCCTGGTGGTGGTGTATTTTCTGGCTGTTGGTTGGTTGGTTTGTTGGTTGCCTTGTTCCCAAAGGATTTTTAAGTACACCCCAACAGTGCAAAATTATTCCGGCAATAGGCCCCAAACAGTATGTGGTTAGGATTTTACGGGGAAAGTTGGAAAGGACCCAAAACCATCAGTGGTTGCAAACTAGCAGGACAAGAGCGACCGAAGTAGTGAAAACATTGTGTTCAGTAAACATGGCCTGTGGAAGAAGAGATGTCACGTTAGATTTTGCAAGTTCCCTTGGCGTTTTTTTTTTTAGAAGATCGCGCGCAAAATCTCCTTGATAGGTTCCCCGTGGAAGCTGCTGTGCACGATCTGCGTGTAAGGGTATCTGTACAAGGTGCGTATAAGAAATGTCAACAGAAGATCGCTGTAAGGGATCTCAAAACAATATTTTCTTGACGGTTTTTTCGAAATGCCGCGTACTCTTTGCAACGATGTTTTGGGGGCAGGGTGTGTACCACATGCTTGGCATACCACTTGGTTCCTCGTGTTGGCAAAATCGCAGAAGGCAAAAAAACAAATTGCTTTCAGACCAATTGCCAGCATTCATTTGCTATACCAAGTTTTTGTTTATATGATTTTGTCGCGCGTGGAAAATGTTTTGGACACAATGCGGCCTAAGGAACAACATCGATTTCGCCACTATTGCGAACATTGTCATTGAATCATTGCATGCCTGTCTGGGTGGGTAGCCTCGATCTAGCCAAAACATTTGACAGAATGAACTGGACACAGCTGTGGGGCGCACTAGAAACAAATTGTGTTTCGAACTTTGAGAGGTTATTTTTGCAATTTATTTCCACACCAGTTTTTCCATTTTTTCTTCATTTATGCATGCCCCTTTGCAAGAAAACTGTAAATACTTTAGGAATTAATACGCGCTTTTCTCTACGCCAGCACCGTTTGCAAATGCATCGCTATCACCCGACCACTCTGGACACACCCAATTTGTTGCCAGTACAAACGTTGAATGCCGACGACATTTTGATATTTCGGCGCGGTGCTGACGAAGTTCTTTTTGTGCTTCATTCCTTGATGGAAGCACTTGCGGAGGTTGATTTGATTTTGAACATTTTCGGTTCTGGGCATAAGATGACATAAGTAGTTGGGATGCATCCTTGGCGTGATTCGCTTAGGCCAGAACTCATTGGATTTACTAAAACATCACGTTCGGGCTGCCTTTCGACCGGTCTTTGTGCATAAACAAATACTTTGCGACCAAAAGGTCCGTGTGAAGGAAAATTTGTGATTTTTTGGATCTTGTTATTTTTTGTGTCGATATGTCGGGTTGGGCATGCATTGTTTATCATTCTGATTTGTGGTGCCTGGATGTGGCGGGCGCTCCGGGCAACCCGCACGTCTGGAACTTGAAAAAATTGAAGGTTCAGACAGCCTTAAGTGAACATCATATGAGATTATGGTTGCACATGGTCGCACCGTTGTTTCGAATCATATTGGAAACTTGGATTCTATACGGTGCACTTGTTGCAGAACATCCTCGACATGATTGGTCATCAAAATTTCCATTGTACACGGGGTATCGGCACATGGATGATTCGCATACTTTGGCATCCAAGAAGAAACTGTGGACACACTCGATTGAGGATTTCGTAGCTTTTGCCTCCGGCCAGGACCCGATGAAGAACGGGCCATTTTATCAGAAATTGTCACATATTGTCACCAATTCTCTCCAAGGTCCTGCGCCCAAAACGGGCTGCTCACGGGCATGCCGGATGAACCTTATTGAACCTTGAACCTTACACTCTCTTAAACAAGAACGGAACAGAAATTGCGCTCTTTGAACGAGGTTTCTGCACGAAATCTCTGCAAAAGGTCTCCTGGCAAGATCTTCGTACAAAATTTCGAAAAGGATTCTGTCAGCAAGATCTCTATAAGAGACCTCTTGGAAAGATTCGTGTAAAATTTTGTGGGAATTCTCCTGGCAAGATCTTTGCACAAATTTTCTGTACGAGGTTTCTTGGCAAAATTTATGTAAGAGACCTCTTGGTAAGATTCCTGCCACAAATCTCCATGCAATGTCGCTTTGCAAAATGTCGCTTTGCCACATGTCCCCAAGATATCGGCAAAATCTCCGTACAATGGTCTCCTGGCAAGATCTTTTGATGAGATCCCTGCCATCTCCTGCCAAGATCTCTGTAAGGGGCTTCTTGGCAAATTTGCAACCAATCTCTCGCCGAAAACTGGCAAAATTTTTGTACGAGACTTCTTGGCAAAATCTGTGCAACAGAGTCCTGTGCAGTGTCTCTGTGCGTAAGAGGTGTCCTCGCAAGATCTCTGTACAAGATCCCTGGAGCAGGGCTTTTGGCAATAGTCGTGAAAAAAATCCTGTACAAACGCCCTAAAAGAGCTCTGTTGGCAAGATCTCCGTAAGAGACCTTGGCGAGATCTTTGTACAAAATCTTTGTAATAACTTTCTGTACAAGATCTTGACGCAAACTCTCCATAAAAAACATGTTTGTCAAGATCTCTGCGCAAAATTTCCTTGACCATCAAAATGAGCACCGCGCCACAACGCGCGATCTGACACGCAAAAACTGCCGAGAGGATTGCGCGAACCATTTCAAGATATTTCAAGATGGCCACCGCACCACAATGACAGCGATCTGAAAGGCCCAAAGTGACGAGAGGGTTGCGCGAACGATTTCAAAATGAACACCGTGCAACTGCAAGAGTGATCTGACAGGCCTAAAGTGATGATAGGGTTGCGCAAACGATCCAAAAAATCACACCGCACTAAACGAGAGCGATCTGACAGGCACAAGTGACGAAGGGGTTGCGCGAGCACATGTTAAATTTTCATCAAGCATCGCACGCACCACGGACAATGAAAAACGACGTTTTAACTAGCTCTAATTTATTGCCAAGGTCATCCAAGGTCTACAAAGTACCGCGCCCGCAACGAAGAACAAACTCGAGGCATCCGAAGTCCCCCGCGTCCCACACAAAATCATCATCATGTTTCAGGGCACACTTGACGACAGTTTCACAAAACACGATTTTCATACCCTTCAAGTTCATCAAATACCGCACTTGCCACGCACAATGGCTTTCAAAAACGCATGCCTTGCAAACTGTTCGCTCAGTCTCGCGCGCGCATAGCTTGGGAAGATGGAGCCAACGCAGTACACAAATCTTTCCAAAACTGTTGCAGGCGACCAACTGGTCACAAAAGAGATGGTGAATTTTGGTAACATATCGTGGTGACAGAATGAAATCCGGTCTACTGGCTGGATAAATTCAGCAGCGCGAAGCAGGACCACTTGAGAGACAAGCGAAAATTCGCGAAACTCATACTGAATCTACGCAACAGAATTCCAAAGCATGGGCGAAAGCGGAAATGACGCGCTTGGCTGAAACAATAAAAATATCGACCGCGGCTTTCGTATGTTTTTTTGGTTAAAAAAACATGATTTAGCTGTGAAAGCAGATGCGAATCTGATGGTACTCTTGTGGAAACAATGTTTCTCGAACGCAAGTTTTGTTGGAATTTTGTTCCCCTTGAGGTTGGCTGGAACGGCACAAACTGTTTCATTTTTTTTCGTGAGTTCTTGTGGTGAAGAATGCGCAGCATCAGCAGCACGAACAGCAACACACAGAATACCAGCAACCTTTTCATTATGTTTGTTCGTGCATGGATTCTGTTCTGGTTTCCGGCATGCTGAAATAGATGCCTGAAATCTACCAACTTGCTTCCAACGAGTACTGTAGATGTTGTTGGCCAAAGGCATTCATTCCCTTCAGGTTGGTTGGTACGGCGCAAAATTGTGGGTTATTTTTGAAGATTTTGGTGGTGATTTTGGTGGTGAAAATGTGCAGTTAGAATATGGTTTGGATTGTTTCGTCCTTTTTCCATTCACCATCAGCACCAGCAGCGCCACGCAGAAGACCAGCAAACCACTTGCTGAAGCAGATGCTAAATCAATGACCCTGAACAGCACAAGTATGTGGTACAGTGTCCAATGTATGGTCTTGAAGGGACAGTATCCATGACAAACTCTCCGTATCTATTGTATTTGGTGGCTCGGTTTTTTGAGCCATTGCTGTGGTTCATGTCCGTTGGCAACGGTGGGCAGATCCCGTGTCCAAACCAGACCATGGTTCGGGAAAAGGACGCTTTTTGTGGGTACAATTACCCCGAAAACTGACATCGCCCTCTGCAAGTTGGCAGGCAAAAAAACCACAAACCAGCAGAGTGCGTCAGCGAGACCGAACAGCAGCTGAGCGACACGGAACATTGTGCATGCTGGCATAGTCTTGTCAGATCACGGCGACAATATAGACCGCATGCAAGAATCTGTTCTGGACTTCTATGTCGGTGGTCTACCCCTTCAGCACCCACAGCCATTGAGGCTGAAAATACATGTGAACCGGAGGCAACAATGAACCATCGGTCATCGAACGAAGAAAACAGTCTCCGAATCAAAGCAACAACCTCATCGCTTCGTTTCAAACCGGCCCAACTAACTTTACCACAGCTCATCACTGCTCACCGGTGGTGCCGGTTGGCAGTATCCAACAATATGAGAGGTTCAGGGAAAATACACATCCTTGTGAATCGACAGGCATGATTCCAGGAAACACTGGCCAAGTTTCAGAGCGCGCTTGATGCTTGTTTTGACGAGATGCTGCCATGGATGGTTTGCTGCAGCATCGTCAAGTGCTCCAAGCAGGACGCATCATCAAGAAGGCGTTCGGTGACACAGCTGCAAGTGCTGTCAGGACCGAAACGACTTTTCATTTGCTTTCACATCACAATCGGGACAACAATCCGGGTGGCAAAGAAAAAACATTGTCCTCCTGCAAGTTGTCCACACAAACATTTTATAGTTGTGGAGGAACCGTGTTGAAACGTTGAAACCATATGTTTGATCGGAGTGAAGCAGGCAATCGCTTCGACAGAAAGATAGCATCAAAAAACAACCTTGACACTGACGCTTGACTGTGACTGTTGGGCACAGATGTTTGAAACCTTCTTTCCGTGTTGATTCATTGCCAGCTACATTCTGAAATTCAATCGTTTTGAACATAACATGCCCGCAAACCAACAGGTATTATAATATTGGCATTGAGGAGGACAAACGACAGGGATCTAAAAGCGAACGGTGAGGTGATGGTGTGATTTTTCTTGTTCGCCTGGACACCAGCAGTGAAAGGTTTGCACCAGAGGTGATAGTCAACGTATTATATCCAATTCCAGGGGAAATGATGATCCAAACAAACACTCGTGGCCAACCCGCTCTTCAGAAATGCTCGTTTGAACATGCAGGAACTTCCTCCTCTATTGGTTTTGGTCACTTTTTGCGTACTCTGCGGTCAAAAGAGCTTTAGGCGTCTCGGTCCCAAGAGAGGCACACAGGGTTTCACCAGGATGGGGGGAGCATCGACAGCCGAAAGTTGCCACGAGGTTTTGGGCCAGTTCGCTCTGAGACACGGGGCTTAGCCCGGAAGCGACGTGTTGTCAACCTGGGCGCTGGTGAAGACCTCTTGGATGCTCCTAGTGCAAAGGCAGTTTTGCAGCTGCTTTGCTTCCAATATATTTTTATGATTATTTTGGTGATTTTTGTCAAAATTCAAATCCAAGCACCTTGGGTCCTCCTTGGGTCATCCCAGAGGCCTGTATGAGGAACAGCGGGTGCATTGTCCTAAGGTTGACTTCGCGCCTTGCCGGTAGCATTGAGAAAATTTTCCTCCCTGCTCATGATGGTCAAGGTTGGTGTGGATTCTGCTCAGTGTGCAAACGACCGCTGCAGGCCATCCGCAAAGTTGTTTTTGCATTGTTTGTTCTTATTTGTTCTTCTTAGGGATTTCGGATGATTTCGGGATGTCCCATGCCAGGATCCTGGATTTGGTTCCCGATACTATGGGTTTGCAAGGAAAAACAGAGCTGTCAGGTCAGAGTGGCTGATCCAGCGGCAAGTGTGCGCAATGTCGAAGTTGCACCTCATGCTCGAAAGCGTTTTGCCTTCTTGGTGTGTTTGTGGGGCAGTTCGAAGGACGCAAAAGTGTGCCGTTGAGAGGTTTCCACACCTTGCAGCATGAGAATACACGCGTGGCATGGTGCGAACAGAATCGAACAGATGCCACCGAAATTGGGTTCATTAGCTTTGCTGACGCAGCAGCTGCAAACATGATTCATATTTCTGCTGTCTTTTGCCTTTTGCAGGTTTTTGCACTGCCAGCACCGCTCACCTAGTCTGAGCTTACAACACAGTATGCGGCTGACAGTTTCAAGAAACATGTAGTGGCCAAGAGGTTTGCAGCATTGATACTAGGACTACGTCCTGGGAGCTTTAGTCCTTGGTAGCTTGGTTGCACTGATTCGGCCTACCCATCGCTCAACAAGCACATTGTACAGTCAGTACTTCCGCAGGTCAGGTTAAGGGGTCTTCTCAGGCTCAGCCCAGCAAAACCACACTGACTGAGCCTTGTTGGCCCAGGATTCTCCATCAAACGTACCAAAACAAAGCATTCGCTGGTGTGCTTGCACACAGATGATGTCCCTAAAGAACATCTGGAACTTCTGAGCCTTTTCTGGGAATGCCGTTTAGTTCAGCACATCGAGGCCAGGGTGTTGACTTTTAAGGTTTGCGCAGGGTCAAACACCTTTCTATCTTCGGAGGTTGGAAGAAAGTTGTGCCAGAGTTTGCGGGCAGATTCTATGCTTGTAAAACCTGGCGCTGGCGACAGGTCGCAGCTGCCCAGCGCTTGAGCACTGATAGCCGCATTGAGGAGTCGCGTTTCTTCAAAGTCTTCACGAAACTCAGAGCGTTGGAGCAGATCGACTTTGAGAAAGTCCTGGTCATGGACATTGACTTGTTGGTTGCCCGACCTCAGAAAGTCATTTAAATTCTACAAATATTCACAATCACTTCATTGCACCAGTTGCATTCGGTGGCTTTTCCATCGAATGCGACGCACATATTTCCTGAGTGTTTCTGAACATTTGGAGTGTGCTGAAGGTCATGTCCAGTATCGATGATTTGTTTGAGCTGCCAGCCCCTGCTGCGCTGAAGAGGGGCATGAATCGAGGGAAGTGGCCTTACAAACATGGAAACTTTGTTGCATGGACGGGGTGGTTTGGGTGCGGAACTTGTCGCGTTGTTTTTTCATATCTTGACATGTGTCTTGATTCGCCTGCGCAGAGAAACCGCTGCATTGCAAAGCAACTTCTTCCATTCATGTTGTTATTTTTGTTAACCTTTCGTCCACCCCTTGGCAAGCAAAAAAACGGATAGAATGTCAGATAGAATGCTAGAACAATGCCAGATAGAATGCCAGAGAAACAATTGGAGAGAATGCGGATAAGGTGCCAGAGAAAATGCCAGATAAAATGTCAGACCGAACCGAATGTCAGCTAAAATGTCAGATAGAATGCCAGAGAAAATGCCAGATAGAATGTCAGATAGAATGTCGGGTAGAATGCCAGGTAGAATGCCAGAAAGAATTAAAGAAAAAATGTCAGAGAATATGTCAGTGGGGATCATGCAAAGGTAAAGTAATTTCGTGTTTGGTTTTCAGATTCCTTTTTCCTTGCGACTGAGAGCGTTGAGGTGATGACCTGGATGGAAGCACTTTTTTTGGTGGCCGCAACCCGGGCAATGAACATTCCTGGGGCCAGGGCACCGGAATCAATGCTGGGGTGATGCTCCTCGCCCCGAACCTGGCAGATTTCTTGACGATGCAGGCGGGGTATTGCGAGCTACTTCAGTGCTTCGACATGTTTGTTTAGATTTGGATGCTACGATGATCGTTTTCCCACGTTTTTTTCCCGAGAGCGTCTGAGCGCAGGGTTCTTCCAATAGTGGGGGTCTGTAAAACATCTTCTCATCTTCACATCTCATCTTCACATCCTCTCATCTTCACATCTGCTCATCTTCACATCTGCTCATCTTCACACCTTCCCATCTTCACATCTGCTCATCTTCACACCTTCCCATCTTCACATCTTCTCATCTTCACATCTGCTCATCTTCACATCTGCTCATCTTCACATCTGCTGCTCATCTTCACACCTTCCCATCTTCATCTTCACATCTCTCATCTTCACATCTGCTCATCTTCACATCCTCTCATCTTCACATCTCTCATCTTCACATCTGCTCATCTTCACATCCTTCTTCACATCTTCACACCTCTGCTTCATCTTCACACCTTCTTCACATCTGCTCATCTTCATCTGCTCATCTTCACATCTGCTCATCTTCACATCTGCTCATCTTCACATCTGCTCATCTTCTTCTCTCTCATGCCTCTCTTGCTTTTCATCTTTCTCACATCTTCAACATCTGGCTCGAGGGTGGTGCCGGCGGCGAGTCACGAAACGTCAACCCTTTCGCAGGAAATGAGGGTCGATCGGCAAAAACTGCGGTAAAATTGCGATTTGACTTGTCCCGGAGCAACCCTTTCGCACGAAATGAGGGTCGATCGGCAAAAACTGAGGTAAAACTGCGATTTGACTTGTCCTGGAGCAACCTTTTCGCACGAAATGAGGGTCGATCGGCAAAAACTGAGGTAAAAGTGCGATTTAACTTGTGCCGGAGCAACCCTTTCGCACGAAATGAGGGTCGATCGGCAAAAACTGAGGTAAAACTGCGATTTTAGTTGTCCCGGAGCAACCCTTTCGCACGAAATGAGGGTCGATCGGCAAAAACTGAGGTAAAAGTGCGATTTTACTTGTGCCGGAGCAACCCTTTCGCACGAAATGAGGGTCGATCGGCAAAAACTGAGGTAAAATTGCGATTTTACTTGTCCTGGAGCAACCCTTTCGCGCGAAATGAGGGTCGATCGGCAAAAACTGAGGTAAAAGTGCGATTTTACTTGTGCCGTTCTTGTCTGTGTGTAAAAGCGCCTGTGTGTAAAAAGCGTCTGTGTGTAAAAGTCTCTGTGTGTAAAAGCGTCTGTGTGTAAAAGCGTCTGTGTGTCAAAGTGTCTGTGTGTAAAGCGTCTGTGTGTAAAAGTGTTTGTGTGTAAAAGTGTTTGTGTTCAAGTGTTTCTGTGTAAAAGCCTCTGTGTGTAAATGTGTTTGTGTGTGAAAGCGTTTGCGTGTAAAAAGCGTCTGTGTGTAGAGGTTGTCTGTGTGTAAAAGCGTCTGTGTGTCAAAGCGTTTGTGTGTAAAAGCGTCTGTGTGTAAAAGTGTTTGTATGTAAAAGCTTCTGTGTGTAAAAGTGTTTGTGTCAAAGTGTTTGTGTAAAAGTGTTTGTGTAAAAGCCTCTGTGTGTACATGTGTTTGTGTGTGACAGCGTCTGTGTGTAAAAAGCGTCTGTGTGTAAAAAGCTCTGTGTGTAAAAGCGTCTGTGTGTCAAAGGGTTTGTGTGTAAAAGCGTCTGTGCGTAAAAGTGTTTGTATGTAAAAGCTTCTGTGTGTAAAAGTGTTTGTGTTACAGTGTTTGTGTAAAAGCCTCTGTGTGTAAAAGCTTTGTGTTTAAAAGCGTCTGTGTGTAAAAAGCGTCTGTTTGTAAAAGTGTTTGCGATGCAAACTACTGTCTTGCACTTCTCATTGTCCTGTCTTGATACTCCTCTTCTTGACTGCCTATAACAGAGCTTTCATATATCGTTTCGAATATTGCGTCTCCATACTAACAAGAGAAGACCCTGCTCCCCCCTGAACTGGCCGAGCAAACATGACTGTAAGCATTTCCAGAGCTTCTTTTGGTGGCCGTGGTGCTCGTCTTTGGAGATTTTGGAGGCCTGCTGCATGTTGCCGTGTGGCAGTCATTCGATGTTTTTGTTTGATTTGCTGTAGTGAAACTGTGAGTTTTGACGTGTGGAGTTGTCATGTTGAACTGGAAAGTGACTGTAGATTGGTAGGTCGTTGGTTTGGAAGAACTGTAAGCGGCAGAGTTCACAGTCAAGAGATCAACATGGACCGAGATTTGCAGTGAGTATCAATCCACATGGAAAGGCAATTGAGTTGCATGTTTGCATCGATGTCGCGAAGCCATTTTCTTTGCTGAGTTTGGGGAGTAATCTCGGTTTGAACTCAATGGAGGATAGCATTCGTCTGTGGATAGCTCTCGCTCCACCACAGATGGAGGAACTGCGGACGCATCATAGAGTCCAGCCAGACATCTATACCTCCAGGATAGATTTGAGTGCGACACATGCGCCTCTTGGGTGTGCCACAGATGCTCAATGGTGTCACACTTACAACTATTTCGACTACAGCTTCCTCCAGGTCGAAATTACTGCTCTGGGTTACTTTCGAAAGATGGAAGCAAATGTACTGGAGAAGGTTCGACCTGGTGAGTTTCGTTGGTATGGATTTCTTGCTCCAGAAGAACGTGATGAGCAGGGAAGATTGCTTTATCAGATCATCGACCCCATGGTTGCTAATGAGCCGGCTCACGAGCGTCCTACTAGGAACTGAGGAATGAGCAAGCTGTAGATTAGTGGGTCCGTCCTGCCTTGGGGCTTTATAGACCTTTCCGGTTACCTGACACCGGTGAAACAAGCATTTGGATACATGTAATCATATCATCGCAAAGACGACTTGAAAATGAAGTGTATCAGCATGAGTCAACCAGAACTGTCTGAGACTTGTTGATGCACGCATCTTTGCGTGACTCAAACAGCCCGGTCTGAGACTTCATCGAAGATCAATAAAGCTGTCAGATCCTTTTGCGCATATAGTTGTGCCGGAACATCAATGAATGTGATCTGTCGCAGTCATTAGCCATAGTCCTTGAATGCTTTGCAGGTCCGCATTGTTGGTCTGTGCAGCTAGGTTTGCATCGAGTCAGGGCCCTGGGATGGGATCGATTACCTGTTGAGTGGTAGTACCTGTTCATATTACATAGCATGGTAGTTGGATTTTACCCTTCTATTTTTGGCCCTTCCACTCAAACCTCTTTGCATAATGCGACCTATGTCTTTTCAAGGAATGTCCTATGTCCTCTGATGGTGTCAGCTATGTGACCGTGATTACAGGCGCGCGGATGAATGGAGCAGAGGACTTGAAAGGTCGTTAATTGACTCTTTTCATGAAAGGCATAGTTTTACGTTCGTCGAGACTGAGATCCCAATCGGCAGTGTTCGGGATATCTTCAACACCACTTGTGATGCAATGTGGAAAAACTTGTTGCGTTCACAGAGATGCTGGACCTAAGGTCGTGTCCGTGGAGGTGCCCAGATAAAGATCAACCGCGGTAGCCACTGATGTCAATTGAATTTGAAAATGAAATGCATCAGCATGAGTCAACCAGAACTGTCTGAGACTTGTTGATGCACGCATCTTTGCTTGAGACATTCAGTTTCACCGTAGTGCATCCTGTCTCACCATAGTGTATCGGCGTGGGTCAAGCAGAACGGTCTGAGACTCCATAGAAGAGCAATAAAGCTGCCGATTCTTTTTGCGCATATAGTTGTGCCGGGACATCGCTGAATGTGATCTGTCACAGTCATTAGTCATAGTCCTTGAATGCTTTGCGGGTCCGCATTGTTGGTCTGTGCAGCTAGGTTTGCATCGAGTCAGGGCCCCGGGATGGGATGGATTACCTGGATAAGCTGCTACCACAAAGAAACAAATCGATATATTTTATATTGAGATAGAGATAGAGATATGATATAAAGATGGATGTATGACTTTTAATATATAGAGATGGATGTATGAGTGTTAAGATAAGAGTTTCCATTCCAGTCACAGTCAGGAGTCAGGACCCTAAACCCATAAAGAACCAACTTCTATCATATTGTAATACTGTGCGTGTCCCAGCCCAGAAACGGTCGCTGCCTGCCAGGTCCGCCCGTTTATACTTTTTTTTTTCAGGAGATGGCAAGCCACCTTGGTTGGGGGGCCCCAAAGCACATAGCCCGCATGACATGTTTATACATGCTGGTTTCGAGGCACATGGAAATAGGACTTCGCCACCACCCCGTCGGATTGCTGAGGTCGCCACGACAACGATGACTTCGCTGTGACTACCTGGGCCGGCCTCTGTGTAAAAGCGTCTGTGTGTACAAGTGATTGTGTGTAAAAGCGCTTGTGTGTAAAGCCGTCTGTGTGTAAAAGCGTCTGTGTGTCAAAGTGTTTCTGCGTAAAAGTGTTTGTGTGTAAAAGCTTCTGTGTGTACAAGCGTCTGCGTGTAAAAGCGTCTGTGTGTAAAAGTGTTTGTGTGTAAAAGTGTTTGTGTGTAAAAGTGTTTGTGTGTAAAGTGCCTGTGTGTAAAGGCGTCTATGTGTAAAAGCTTCTGTGTGTCAAAGCGTTTGTGTGTAAAAGCAGCTCCTGTCTGTAAAAAGGTCTGTGTGTAAAAGTGTCTGTGTGTAAACATGTCTGTGTGTAAAAGTGTCCGTGTAAAAGCGTCTGTGTGTAAAAACATCTGTGTGTAAAAGCGTCTGTATGTAAAAGCTTCTGTGGGTAACAGCTTTGTGTGTAATAGCCTCTGTGTAAAAGCTTCTGTGTGTAAAAGCTTCTGTGTGTAAAAACTTTTGTGTGTAAAAGCGTCTGTGTGTAAAAGTGTTTGCGATGCAAACTATTGTCTTGCACTTCTCACTATTTTGTCTTGCTACTTCTCTTCTCGACTGCCTATAACACATCTTTCATATATTGTTTGTAAAATTGTGTCTCCATACTAACAAGAGAAGACCCTGCTCCTCTACGCTCTCGGGCCATCCGTCGTCTAGTTTTTCTGAATCCTTGGTCAAAGATGGTCAAAGATCACTAAATTTTAGGTTCATTTTCCCAAAAAGTTCTTTGAACAACAAACTGCAGGAAGAGTTGGTAGAGCCCTGCCATCCTGGGCACGTGCGCGGGAATGGCCCCGAGCAGGATGGGATTGAGATGGGTTGCCCATTTTGTGCTGGTGAAAGCATGTCAAAGCCCAGAATCCCATCGTGAGGCACACGCGAAATGGCCACAAAAAGAAGTGCGCGAGTTATTGATTTGCGGTTTCATTGCTGCGATGGGAAATTGGAACGCCGCATCTGCAGGACTACCTGAGTCGCTTCTTTGCTGATAGGCCGTGGAGGCACATTTCGGCAGCTCATCTGCAAGTAAGAGCTTAGATTCGTAGTGAGCGTATTTGCACGGCGTATCACGGCGTCGCTGAAGGTGGAGAACAACTTCCAGGTGCACCATATGTACAACGCACTGCAGCCTCTATTGGAGGATGCAGAAAGACTGGTTGTAGCATGTCAGCAATGCATATTGAGTACAATTCCTGGGGGGAAGGCGACCATGCGCGGTGATACATGTTTGATATGTTGGACGTGAGGGTTCTGCGAGGTTATTCGCTTCGAAACCTTTCATCCACATAGAACATCATAGAACAATAAAGAACAGGATCAGGTTTGGCAGTTGGAGTTGGAATCAGTTGGAAGATTTGGAAGTGCTGTTTTGGTGGACGCACCCGCTTCGAAGGGTTGGTGGTCTTAGGTTTCTCAGGTGGCCTCCATATCCACCCCACACGAATGATGAAATTTGATGAACATTGCATTCATTCCACGGTTTGACACACCAAGTCCAAAAAGGGTTTCAAAATGTTTCAAAGGTTTCGGATGGTTTCTCCATGTCATCATGTTTCCCCTTGTTTCTCCCAATTTTGACTTAGCCCTTGGTGACTTGATGATCTTTGGGTGATGGTGACCGGTATTGTCATTTGTTGCCCCAACGGGCCCTTGAGGTGTGCCGAAACTTCAAGACGGTGCGTGTGGTGCATTTCTCCGGGGACTCGGGCGTGAAACCTTGGACCCGATGTTTGAAGAAGGATTTTGGCTGGCCGGATCGAGGCCAAGATGAAGAGCAACGAGTCGGAATTTTGTTTCCGCTGTAAGACATTTGCGTTCAACATCCTAAGAAATATATATACACAATATATATATATACACACATATATATATATATAATATACACACTGTATTTGTATGTTACAAAATATAGTTCTTATTTTTTCCATTCTGCCGTCCAGAGGAGATCCTGCCGCGGTCTTGCGAGTTGAATTCGGAAAAGAATGTCACACACCCTGACAGTCCGGAAGGAAAGACAATCGGGTGTATTGATTGGACGCACTCCATGCGTCAAAAAGCAATGCTTTGTCCACGGCGTTGCATGCAGTAGCAGGCCGCAAACCTTCTGTGCGGGCTCGGGCACGTAATCCCTTGATGAGAGCCACGAGCATGGTACGGCAACTGTACCCTTGGCGGCTGCTGTTCTGTACGCACCCTTCTCATCTTTCCCAATCAATTGGGTGGTAGGTTTCACCCGCCACGGTTCCATGCCGTCATGGAGAACCGCTCCCACTAAATCTGGGTCCCCCAGATTTCTAGGGAGCGGAGACACGTAGGCTTCACTCCAGCGGCGCCAAAGCGGTACTGCTCCACATAGCGCCGGTGCGCCCCAGGCAACGCCATGAGAAAGGATTCGTGCGCGTCAGTGCGCCAGACCGATGCCCGGTCATCCTGGCTGTTTTCCCAGGGGTGCTCCATGATAGCGGCTCCGCCGTTGGACACCGTGGCAGTCTCAGCGATCCACGAATTTGTAAGCAGTTCTGTGCCCATGGAACGTTGCTTCAGCTCCTTCCCGGTGCGCTCTGGCAAACTCCATGGAAATTCTGCGGATCGGAGGGGCCTGGGACCGGGACAATCAGGATCTTGCAAATGTCTCGCCGCCGACCATGTCTCACAGGGCGGGCCCGTGAGAACCCCTGCCACCAGTCCTTGCTGAGCAAGTCGGCGAACGTGATCAAAGTTGGTTCCTTCGGCGAGATTTCCCAGAATAGGATGCACCGCTGTGTCAAGTGATACCATGCGCAGGGTAACATCTGGCCAAAGAAGGTGTCCGAGGTGCTCCAGCCACCAATGACAGTCTCCGATCCTACGCCGACCACTAAACAAATGAAAATCCAGCTCACCTTTAACCCATTCACTGCATCAACTGGCACTCCACGGCATGAAGGAACATACAGGGGCCGGTGTAGGGTGGCCGCCAGCAAGGATCGTTGCATGCGCACCGGCTCCAAAACTTGTGGGGCAGTATCTGTAGGTATACGACATCCTCAGGCTCAGCATCAGGACGATACGCAGTGTCCATGCGGCGACGCCAGCACGCCAAGCGTCCAATAGGAGACAGCTTGACCATGTACCTAACCGCCAATAGGCATCGGCGGAAAAAGGCCACATCCATGTGCGAGAACCTCGAATAGTACAGGTCAATCGCTGGAAGTCCATGCCCATCAGCAAGACTGGAGAGTCGCCACAGGATAGCATCAGGGTTGGCAGTGCGAAGCAGGGATTGGTCGCGGAGCACAGCATCAAAGGCTAACTTACAACCCTGAACCCCGGCAACATCATTTGGAACAACAAACCTTTCAACCCTGCAGGCTTGATTCAATCGGTGATCAGCATCATCACAACTCAGGCAACCAACTTCGTGTCGTGACCGTACATGAGGAACAGCAGTTGCTGGAAGGCGGGCATGGCATGCATCACCATTCACGTCCTCAATGGATACCGGGTTCTCCAACGGCTCATGAAGCCATGTAAGACGCTCGTAGCAACCATGACGTTGTCGTTGACTGTGTCGTAAATGGATTTGCAACCGATTGGCCATCCAATAGCACGTCCAACACGCAGGACAAACGGTAGTGGTCATGTAGAGATGCTCATCACTGGGCTCTCCATGCGCACTCCACAAATGATTCTGCCACTGTCGCAAAGTAGAAAAGGTCTTCGCACACCAACGGCACTCATGCTGAAGCGGAAGTGCAGCTTCTTCCAGGAGAGGAACATCAAACGTAACACCCCCACGTTGTAGTTGTCGTAGGAGAGCTTGATGAGCCGCCCAAGCTTCACCAATAACCAAGCCATGATGAAGCGCACGCCGATAAATGCGTCGAACACGTCGAGGACCATCAACTCGATGAGCCACAAACCATTGAATGAGGTCCGCCAGGGAGGTGGGCAGAGGATCATGTTGAAGCAAAGAAGCATCAACAGAGAGAGCCCAGGTCAATGCTTTCCGCAAAGCTTGAATCCATGATCGGGGAGAATCAGCTGTAGCTGTGACGACCTCAATGATTAACCCTGGCGCATCTGCAAACAAATGGAAGGCAAACAGCAATCGATGTTTGGCAAGCCGCATGGCAATCGAAGGAAGTAGCCATTGCAGTTGAAGTTGAATATCAGTGAGCTGGTCATCAGCCCAAAAGCCGTTGCCAACAATGGAGCGCACCCAACGCATATACCGACCATGCAGCTTCTGAAGTTGAGATGTAGTGAGAATCGGCCAATTCCCTGCACCATGAAGAAGCACTGGCATCACCAAGGCGTCCAGCAAACGTAAACGAAGAGGAACTGCCAGATGTCGGTTCTTCAAGATCACACGATGGATCTGCTTGAAAGCAAGGCTGGCTTTGCGGACTCGATGTCGGATCTCCGCATCGATACCACCATCAGATTGGAAGCAGGTCCCAAGATGTTCATACGTCGGCACACAACGCACACTCTGGTCTGTGTCTGGGACCGAGATGCCAGGAAAGTTCACAATGAAGCACGCATGTCTACATGCAGGGGCCTCTGGCCCACGAAAGGCAGGGACCACTTCTGTTTTGCGTGGCTTCAAGTTGAGCTCCAGACCAAACGACGCACAGACATCAATCAGCGTCCGTAAAGTCCACTGCATGACAGGCTGAAGTGTCGAGGCTTGCAGGGCTACAACCGGCACTGCGAGGTCATCGACCCATGCCACCGGAATGGCACGCAAACCGAGACTTGCAAATGCAGCTTGAAGTGGAGCATGCTGAGCATGCTGGTCCAGGCGGACTTGTAGCTCTTGTAGAACCAGAGGCATCAGACTGTTAAAAGCCACATCGGCAAGAGGGGCTACCCGGTCTGCTACCCCTCTCTGTCTGGTGAACCTCCTCGGAGGCACCAAGTGCATACCAAGTATGTCGATGGCCATCTCGCAGCAATCGTGCGGCATGCTGTGTGAGCAAATCAGAATCCAATGATGTGGTGTGATCAACCCGAGCTTGCAGAGCTGTCAAGTCAATGCCATGCTCCTCCAAGACCCGTTGCAGTTTGGGGTGAAGCCGTCCATCTCCTCCAAACACAAATTGACGCACCAGGGAATGAAAAGCACTGCGGATGTCGACAAAAATGATGGCCGAAGACATGGTGTGTTGAGCTGCAAGTTGCGCGAAGGCCCGCGCATACATCGTGGCAAACAATGTTGAGCGCCTAGCAAAACCTCCCAATTGGAGTGGTTGGCGCATGGCTTCCAGAGCAGGAAGAAATTGTCCACGAAGATGAGAATGGATCAATTTACCTATCCCATCAATCAACATGATCCCTCTCATGCCATCGATGCGTTGACTTGCTTCCTTTTTCGCAATAGGGTGGAGCAAACCTCCCTTGCCCTGCAAGGGCTCTGCACCAAGGATCCACACCTTCATCATAAACTGGTGTAGAAGACTTGAGTACTGTTGGCATGCTTGCTGCAACACAAGAGGAGCAACTGAATCAAGGCCCGAGGCTTTGTTGGTTTTGATACGGCAGCCCAAGGCTTCCACATCAGCACGAGAGGGTAAGGCCTCTAGTCGAATCTGAAGTGGGAGATCATCAGCTTCTGCTTTCTGGGAAGCTTGAGAGTGACTAGAAGCGCAGCATATGAAGTGTCATGTCCTGCTTCGAGTTGGTCATAGTGATCGAATTGGTCTGCAAGCGAAGGGCCAGTGCACCTCAAATTGGATCGACGTTTACTGCGCCATCGTGGAAGCACGGGCTGAATTGCCTTCCACAAGCGCGGTCATCGTCACGAATTGCTTGCACAACTCGAGGAGCCAAGTCAGCAAAGGCCCATTGGTGCCATGCCACAGCCTGATCACAAACTTTCATCCATGCATGGTATGAAAAGGTAACTGGCTGGTCACGCCATGCTGCAAAGAGTTGGCGAAGAAGTCCACGCCGTTGATGGCGACGAATGTCATTCAATCGCTTCCAGTGATATCGTTTGACATCGATGAGCTGCATAGTATCAGCACTCAGATGGCGTTTGTGCCAAGTTCGACCTTTCGGGCTCCATTGTTTCATCCATTGTTGCAGATGTGCCGCATGAGTGTGCACGTCAATGGGCCATGTAGTATCAAAATGCTGTGGTGGTGCAGGATTCCAACGCGCATCTCGAGGTCGACGATCCACAAGGTGATATTCAAGTTGGAGTTCAGCACAAACACTGAACACAGTCATGGTCTCGGCGATGCAATGCCAGATCAAGGAAGAACTAACCCAAGAGCTGATGGTCGAAGGGTGGATGTTATCCGAAACTGTGATGAAATCAAGCCGCGCAGAGGTCCCCTTCGGATGAGTCCACGTAGCGCCTGGTCCAAAATGGCATTCCTCAAAAGTCTGCGGCACAAAAAGCCCATGCGATGTGAGCCACGCATGGAAGCAGGTGCCCTTGGGATTCTCAAAGTCAGCTTGATGAGGGCCCGCAGATGCAGAAGGAGTGCTGCCTATGCGACTGTTTGCATCGACCAGAACGACAGTCTGCCAGTGACGATAGGCCACAGGAATAGCTTCTGTCGTGGCGTCCCAGTAGGCCTGTACAGTGTCCTCGTCATCATCGGAGGGGGCATGAACCACGATGAAAAGCAAGCGACATCCTGGATATGACCAACGTACAATCAACCGTCTAGATGTTGCATGAAGGATGCGAAGGTCTGAAAGCTCAACAGGGATAGGTCCTCTGTCAGTCGCAATAGACCGTCGCATCCAAAGTTGAACGCCGCTTTGTCCACGTTGCGTTGCTGGGCTCGACAGAACATGAAAGGCTTCTAAAGTGGAATGTCCTGTCATACGAGCACGAGTCTCTTGTAACCCAATGACATGAAGTCCTTCTTGAACAAATTGATCTGCAAGACTTTCTGCACGCGCACCAAGAGCGCTGGAGGCATGTTCTTGTCCTGGAAAGAGGGTAAGGACGTTGGCCGTGGCTACACGCAACTTGAATGTACGCGAATCTCCTTGAGGGTCAGCGACCTCACGACATCTCAGCATTGCTGGATGGGTATCGGCACATGGCTCTTTGGAAAAAGGGCACGCTACATCAAAGCGCCAACATGTGCCCACCAGTTCGGGAGCGTCTGGGTGCCGATGAAGAGACTTCTCAATGCTAGAATTTTAGGCCGCAGCTGGCGCAAAGAGACGGCCTCAACGCAAGCCTCGAGGCCTCAAGGATATGGAAATTGCAGCCAAACAAAAAGTTTAGAAGATGAAGTATAGTTGGAGGCAGGCCTCAATGCAAGTCTCGAGCTCCAGCGTCGCGAGACCATGGGAATTAGAACAAAACACTTCGGGGCAAGCTTCGAGGCAGGCCTCGAGGCAGGCCTCGAGGGCCTCAAGGCTATGGAAATTGGAGAAAACAATGTGACAAAGAAGGTCCCTGTTTTGGTCCTCAAAACGTACGAAAAAGCGGGCGCGCAAAAATGGGCCTCCCCAGTTCAAGATTCCAGCCGCAGCTGCTGAGCCAGAGCCACTGTATAGGGCATACATTACGTCCTTGAAGTGTGCACATGTCAAGCCAGTCATGCAAGGAAGTGGTGAAAGCATTGGTCTCCAGGGTGTGGCGACAAATGGTGTCAGCGGCTTCATTCCAGGGATCACCTTGATGACTACGACTACGATGATGGCTCCAACGCAAGGGGGCGGATGTCAATACCTCCACCCATTCACCACATGTAGATCGGAGTTGCATCGTGCTGCTTTATGTCCTTGCGCAATGTTGGCCGTATGCTCACAGTCATATGCAATCTCAAACCATGGCATGTCACCGGCAAACTTGGAGACCAATTGTTGAATCCAAAGTGCAGCCAACACAAGCGCTGAAGCTTCTGCGCGAGGGGCAGTTGCCGGACCAAGGCATGGAGTTGTTAAGAAACCACCACAGCGCAGTCCTGCATCAGTGTGCACAATCACAATCAAAAAGACACCAGCAGCCGCGGTATCAAAGGACCGCCGAGCAGATCCATCAGTGGAAAAGGTCAGCCCAAGCGCTCTCTCGGTGGTCCAGAGTGGTACCCAGGCTGAGTGGTACCAGGTGGATGCATGCCACCAAACACTGTGCAGATCCACATCAGGTTGAAGGCCCTGACATAGCTGAGCTCGGAGAAACAGCACGTGTTGACAATCAACAAACGTGAATCGAGGTGGTTCAACATGATTCGCCAACTGAAGAACTTGTCGTTGAGCGTGTTGTTGAAGCAAGCTCAGGTGTTCTTCATCATTCGCCAGGGAAGTCTCCACTTCTAAAGTGGGTTCAAGGGGCTGTTGTGGAGGCAGTTCTTCTCGATGAATGTGAAAGCTCATTGGCTTTGAGCACCTTCAGACCAGATTTGTGCAGAAACCAGCGCCTTCGCCCCAAAGCCCTCTGTCTCCGCAGTCGCCTCCTTGATGTTGGCGTAATAGTCGCCAATGAGGATGATCACAAGGAGGATTGTGTAGCCGATCTCTCTCATAAAGTGCGCCACCACCACCGCGCCGCGCTGCAAGCAAGCCCAAGCTCAGCCAGCAGCCACCACGAAGTGAAGCGCAGCGGAAGAGTAAGGCAGCGCGCAATTGTGTGTGCCCGCGGGTAACAGGATGAGGCAAAGCTACCCGCTAAGGCCGTGGTCAAACGCCTATAAACGTGGGGCGGTTGAGCCACAACCTTACAAAATACAGATATGCTGTAATGTTCTGTAATCTTCTGTAATGTTCTGTAACGTTCTGTAATGTAATGTTATGTAATGTTGGGTAATGTTATGTATGCATGGTATGGTATGTATGATATGTATGGTATGTATATGTATGTATGGTATGTATGGTAAAGTATGGTATGGTATGGTATGGCATGGCATGGTATGGTATGTACGTACGTACCTACATTGACATTAATATGTATGTATGTATGTCCGTCTGTGTCTGTGTGTGTGTACCGTCTGAATAGACGTAAAACTTCTTTTACTTATTACATATGTATATACGCGGGGGGTCACCGGGGTCCCCGGGAGGTCGGTGACCAACGAAGACTGTTTCAGGACTCAGTTCCTGCCGGATCATATAATGATCCATTCTTGTCTAGTGTGATTTCCATGGTGGCTCCGACATGGTGCCATGGAGCCATTTGAGGCAACCCTTTTTAGGGTGAGTGATGACCGTCCGGACTTCCGAATTAACAATTTTAATTTGGTAATTCACTTAAGTAAATTGTAACAGTTGGCCTTCTGTTCTGCACCATTTTTTGAGTATCCCGCTGCTCCTGCGGTCCCTTGTGAAACCTGTGGAATGCATTCCTCCCGGTGAAGCCGTTCTGACCTGCCAGAAACTCCATTTTTTACTACTGCAACAACTTTTGCAGCGTCATTGCATCATGTCACGACACTTGAATCAGGCAGGCACACGTCTTGCAGGTGTGGTTTTCTTTCCTTTTGGTTCTCTGGTGAGGTTAAACATGTTGTGCATCTAATTCGATGGACTTTGAAAGCTGTTTATGCCCTGGTGGCTGACTTGAACACGGGCCTGGATTGGCACAACGCACGAACTCTAGGTTTTAGGAGCTGAATCCTGGTTTTGTTTTTGTTTTTTACTAACTAGTTCCCCATTGGTCCCCTATCTCATGCTCTCTTCCCTCCCCAGGTAGGTGGCTCCGTCGCGTGCTGAGGTTTTTTGTAGGTTTTCGCTGTGGCAGGTTGGTTCAGGCGCTTCCGTCTTCCCCCCCCTCCGCTGGTCTTGGTCCGTGTCCGTCGACCCTCCGCTTTTCTCTTTTCCCTGGCCTTTTCAGGGTTCGCCCGCTCCGGGCTAGGTGTGTTGGTGTGTGTTTGCTCCTTCCCTCTTCTTTTGCGTTCCCCTCTTCGCGTCCTGGTTAAGTAACGTTCATCTCATTGTCACTCTCATCTCATTTTCATCCCCCGTTCATCCTCACTTTCATCTCATTTTTACGCGCACCACCCTGCCGGAGGCAGGGTGTGTGTGTGTGTAACATCTGAACAGATGTAAAACTTCTTTGATTTGAACTTTTTCACATTTGCAGGGAATCCTTTCATATTTGCAGGGGGCACCTGGAGCATGGATAGGTCAGGTGCCAACGAAGACACCTATCCAATGCTTGTGATATCACGGCTGATCACCGTGACGTACCTGCCAATTTGCAGATCGGTTTCAACTGTTGATCAAGCTGTTACACTGCGTTGTTTCGAATCTACACGGTTGCCACAATCTGTATTGCATGCATCAGAACCTTCCTCAGATTTTCGCCGAAATCATATCGCCGACAGTATTATGATTTTTTGACATATTTTCGCCGAGATCATGTCGCCGATGAACTTTGGGTCATTTTGGGAAACAATCGCCGAAACATTATTTTGGATTTTCAACATGCTGGTCAAAACTCTTTGGACTCTGGTTTTAACTACGTTTGACAATATTGGATGCCCTACATCGTTTTCGAGAAGTACCTCATATGGCTCCTTTATTAATCTAACGATCTAGGCTGGTTTGCATGTTTCAGGATTCAGTTCCTGCCGGATCATATAATGATCCATTCTTGTCTAGTGTGATTTCCATGGTGGCTCCGACATGGTGCCATGGAGCCAATTGAGGCAACCCTTTTTAGAGTGAGTGATGACTGTCCGGACTGCCGAATTTACGAATTTTAAGTTGGTAATTCATCTAAGTAAATTGCAACAGCCGGCCATACTGTTTTTCCAGTTTTTTGAGATGTCCTGCCGTTCCGGCTGTCCCTTGCGATCCTTGGTGAATTGCATTCTTTGCAGCGAGAAGCCGTACCGAACATTCAGAAACCTCTTATTCTGCAGCAATTTCACAGCGACATTTGGCAACACTACATGAAACTGGATCAGGCAGGCTCATGTCTTTCAGGTGTGGTCTTTTTCCTTTTGATGGTTTTCTGGTGAGGTGAAACATGTTGTGCACCTAATTCGATGGAACTTGATAGCCGTTTGATGCCATTGGGGCACGACTTGACAACGGGCCTGTTGTGGCACAATTGCACGAACAGTAGGTCTAGGAACTGAATCCTGTCGTTGCAATTTCATTATTTTTCATTATTCTTCGTGAGCGATGTATCCGTGGACCACTCCTCCGACGTCATGGCCTGCTCCACCGCAGCCTGCGAACCCATCTTCGACGTGGCAGCAATCATCGCAGAACGCACATCTATTTGGACATCCCTCGGCATTGCATCCTACATGGTCTTCCTCAGCTTCTCTCATGCCGTCTACATCAGCCCCAACATCGCTGCCGTTCACCTCATTGACTCCGGCTCCTCATGCAGTACCAGGCCCACAGCTCGTACCCACCATGCCCTCGCCTTTGGGCCCTGAAACCACTATGGTGCACACCGCTCCGTCGACCTTTCCGTCTCCTACGGCACCCACCGCTCCACCTACGTGGCCTTCTCCTCCGGCTCCATCCCCTACATCGACTACACCACCTACATCGACTACACCACCGACACCTTTGCCCAGTTCTCCGTACCCACCTCACCACATTCAACCTCCATTACAGACGGACGCATCGATGGTCCCTCCAGATGAACCTTCACCACGTGCCCCAGCAGTTAAAGCGGCTCCCAGGCTTCGCTCTGACAAGAGAACGGATCGACCGCGTCGGCCAGCTCCGAAAGCCCCTCCTCCTGCTACACCACCAGCACCTACGGCAGCACCGACTTCATCCGTTTCACCTGAACTTGCAGCATTGGGCTCCACTGCACAGCAACTTGCGGAATCGGTTCGGCTTATTCAAGCTCAGCAACAATTGATCATGGATTCTCAACGAGCTCAAGAACAACGTCAGCTACTTATCCAACAAGATGGACCTCCACCGAACCCTATTCCACAGACACCACCAACTACAACTGCACCACCACTGATCGCCACGCCTCCACCTGCACCGAAAGCCAGACCCACCGAACCTGACGTTCCGGACCCTCGCATTGTCCAAGCTCCAGCCATTGCTCCTCCTCACCAACTACATGTTCCACCATCACCAACACGCCGACC